TCATTGATAGTATCAATAGACGGTTTGCATGCAGATGTCACTATACACGCGTATGTGGTTGTTGTGGGCAGGAAGAGTTTAAGAAATCCATGCTTGACCTCCTAGACATGGTTTCTCTCTGTGTGGATGCATTTCCTTGTAGGCCACAAAGCTCCTCAGTTTTGATTTTAAGTACTGAAGGCAGGACAAGAAGCAATGGATGGAAACTGATCAAGGAGAGAAGCAACTTAGAACTGAGGAGAAACTTCCTGACAGTTAGAACAATTAACCAATGGAACAACCTGCCTCCAGAAGTGGTGAATGCTCCAACACTGGAAGTTTTTAAGAAGAAACTGGACAGCCATTTGTCCGAAATGGTATAGGGTTACCTGCCTGAGCAGGAGGTTGGACCTCCAAGGTCCCTTCTAACTTTTTTATTATTATTATTATTATTATTATTATTATTATTATTATTATTATTATTATTATTATTATTATTATTATTATTATTATTATTATTATTATTATATTTCTAGTTATTCAGGATCACATTCTTGAGGTGCTCCTAATCCAAATTTGAATCTTATGATTCAGTCATAGGCAGCAACACTAGCACTGCATCTCCCAAGGCTTTCTTGAGCCCAAGTTTAAGTTCCGAAATTATTTGGACAACTTTGTGATTTTGTTTTTCAATGGTTCTGAGAGGACAGTCCTCTCAGCAGCAACCAAGAGTGAGGAGCAAAGAGCTTGCTCTAAAACTTGGAAACCCATGGAATCAACACCAACCTGAAAAGTCCTTGTTGGAAAAGGGAGTTCCTTCTGGTCTTCCTGATAATTAAATCCGCCACTTGCTGAATGGTGATGCTGACGAAAAAGGCCGTGTAGCCGTTGAACTGCAACTGTTTCCGTTGCTCAAAGGTCTGCAGAACATGGAGAAAGAAGAAACATTAAATGGCTGAGCTCAAGAAAGACTTTCAGAGGGAACGGTGGTCTAGGATACAGAATGATTCTTGCTAAACTGTGGCTAGTTGTTTAGCAGGTGCTTCAGCATCTCTGCCTCCCATAGTTTTGAAATTGCAGCTGGTGGACAAGAGCCAAACTGGGATATTTATTGAGTATTCGTTGAGCGTCAGCTTTGTATACATCATCTTAAAATAGATGATGCCACAGTACAGAAAACACTGCAATGTGAAATAGTACAAGTGTCTTTGTATAACTGTATAATAAGTAGCATATATAAAGTGGGATGGGTCCATTGCCTCTGATCCAAGAAAGATCAAGGGTATAGGTATTTTTTTCTTTATCAGTGATATACGGTGGCTTTATAATGTATCTTCTAAACTGGTAGCTGCACTGAGAAAAGGAATCCATTTGATCTTTCCTGGAATTTGGTGGTTGACCTCAAGACTTACACTCGTACTATCTCAGTAACTGGATTAGAGAGATTCCTGTAAAATGAATCACTGGAACTATTTTTAGATGTTCTACCCAATATATCCTATATTACTAGACAATATAAGAATGCCATTTCTGTGTTTGGGCTGAACAGCGTACAGTGAACACTTCTAATCTGAAATCTGATCTCAGGAGCTGCGGAATCAGGTAATAAACCATGTAGATCTGGGCTTCAAATGGCCATACCAGCAACTCAGTCTCTTAACATTAATTGCTACATATTGTGGGCAGACATGCAACCAATGGGAAAGGATGTGAGATGGATTAGCCATTGGGTGCTGAAGGAAGCAGAAATCACCAGTTTCAGGAGTAAGGATGGGTGGCAATGTGACAGCACACAAAGCTATTTCCAAAAGAGACATTGCAAGAACCTGTTAGTAGATCATCTGCTTTAGAGTGGGTAAACTGGCAGAATTTTGCATACAATGTCATTCCATACCTGGGGTAGTTTACTGATTAATGTTATTTAACTCTAAACTGATGTGATATAATGGACGAGACCGATAGGTTTTACATAAGCTGGCCCAGGGCTTTCTCATTTTGTCTGTTATGGAGGTATGTCTTTGTCAAATCTTGTCTAAGCTCAGAAGGTAAAGTGGGGAGGGGTTGAACCAGGTTAGATTTAGATTTTAGATTTAGATTTTATTAAATTTATACCCCGCCCTTCTCCCGGAGGACTCAGGGCGGCTTACAGCCAGTTTAAAACAGTGATACAATACAAAATTTAAAAAGATTAAAAATAACTATTTAAATTTGGCCGCTTCTACTAAAAATTTAATTTAAAACCCCTTTAAAATACCCCTAGGCCAGTCCTG